AGTTGTTTTGTTGTTGTATTTAAAAGTAAGAATATACATTAACATTTTAAAACTAACCAATGTTCCTTAAAAGCTTCAGAGGGGGAGCCGAGTTAGTCTATAACAGGAAAAACTTAAAAAACAACAAATAGACTAGTAGCACCTTAAAGATTAACAAAACATGCAGATGTATCGTGAGCTTTTGTGGGCATAACCCGCTTCTTCAGATTACTGGATTGTTAGAAGTCCAGATTCAAGAATAAATAAGATGGGGGGGAGGGGAGGAGAGGGGAAAAAAGAGAAAAAAGGAGGGGGAAAGAAAAAAGAGAGAGAGAGAGAGAGAGAGAGATTGTGAGTAGATGGTTCAAATAGTTTACAAGAGCCTGATAAGAATGATTAGCACCTTAGCACCTCCATTGTTGGGTTGGTTGGTTAAGTCATTAAGTGACTTGACACAAGATGTTAGAACATGTTAGTAGTAGAGTTGAGTGGATCTAATAGTTATTTCCTTTCTTTCTATAGGAACTAGATACAGTGCTGTTGTCAGCTAACTACTAAGTTGTTATCTGCAAAAAATTAGAGTTTTCAGGTGCCTTCGTAGCCCCTGGCATGCTTAAAGTTGTCCCCTCCCACCAAAATCTGAAATGTTGCCTCTGGCCTGCAGCCCCTTGCTTCTATCCCAGCCCTGTGGAACAAAGGGGGGGGTGCAGGGACTGGGACTGGTGAACTCATGACGTTATTTAACTTTGCATGGGTTGGCCAATGGAATGAACTGTGTGGCATAGACTCTGTACTGCCAGGATAGACAATTCTTTTTTGTCAAGGTACAAAATTCTTCATTAAGGTCCAGCCTCTAGAGAAACTAATCAACAACAACAACAACAACCGTGCCAATGATAAATAAACAAAATGATGTTGGGATCTGTTCTAATGCATCTGTTGGCCCAGATGTGGGTTTTCAGACCACCGATGGGCTACCCCTGCTGCACTGCGAGCAGTGATGGAAGAGATCCCTGTGGCAGGCAGAGGGCTCTGAGCATGGAAGGGGTCCAAGTCCTAGCCCTATTCCTGTTGTCTGGCACACACAGGGTGTGTCTAGACTACAGGGTTTTGTCGACAAAAGTGGACTTTTGTCGACAAAACTATACCTGCGTCTACACTGCTGCTGAGTTCTGTCAACATAATGTCGACAGAACTCAGCAGTTTTGTCGATGGCTATAAACCTCATTCTACAAGGAATAACTCCTTTTGTTGACAGAGTTCTGTCGACAGAAGGAATTATTGCATCTAAACTATTGCATCTAAATTATTGCATCTTGCTTTGTCGACAGAATTGGATGTAGTCTAGACGCTCTCTGTCGACAAAACTTCTGTCGACAAAAGCCTGTAGTCTAGACGTACCCCCAGAGTTGAGGATCAGTGGTAGGGATGTAAAATTTCGATTAATTGACTAATCGAATAGTCGGTGCAATTTGCATCGACTACTCGATCAGTCGATAGAGCACCTCCACCTTTGAAGTGTAGCGACAGCCCTGGGGCTGTGGCTACACTTCAAAGGCAAAAGTGCTGTGGGGAGCACAGGGCCAGCGGAGGATTCAAGCAGTTCCCTGCTTGCCCTGGGCTCCCCATGGTGTTTCAAAGTGGTGCTTGCCCTAGGCTCCCCACAGTGTTTCAAAGTGGCAGCGCCGCATGGAGCCCAGGGCCAGCCGGGGACCCGGGCTGCATGTGGCGTTTCCAAGTGGCAGTCCCTGGGCTCCATGTGGCGCTGCTGCTTTGAAACGCTGCATGCAGCCCAGGACAGCTGGGGACTCCCAACTGGCCCCAGGCGGCATGCGGCATTTCAAAGTGGCAGCGCGGCGTGGAGCCCGGGGTCTTTGAAGCACCCCCTCCTCTTTCCCCCACCCTTGCTGCCTCTTTCTGATAGAGGCAGCAAGGGGGGAGGAGCGACTAATAGACTGGTCAAAGGCCAATAACTCCCCCCCTAGCTCTGGGAGGCCCAGCAGGGAGTCCTGGGGAAGAACATGGGGACTGGGGCACGGGGCAGGCTGTGTTCCGTGCACACAGGATGCTATCACCAGGCCCAGCTGAGAAAGAGGAAGCTGCTGAGCAGCCGCACCAGGAAGAGAGCAGATGGCAGCTGTTTGTGGTTTGTGACTAGAATGGCTCCAGGCTCTACTCCGCAGCCTCTTGCCCCAGCTGGGTTCTGACTCCCAGGGCACTGTCACATGAGCCTGTCTAACGGCAGGAAACTAGTAACAGCCCGATCAGTCAACCCCCTGAGCCAAGAGAAGAGGCTCCCTTCACCGTGCCAGCCCACACCCTGACCACTGCCCCGGGAGTGCCCAACATTCATCATCCAGCAAGGATCCCTAGGCACCTCAGAGAGCCAGATCTGTCTCCTCCTTCCCATCTCACAGATGGGGAAACTGAGGCACAGTGGGGGATGCAGCCAGTCAGGGACAGAGGCTGGGAGAGAACCAGGAGTCCTGTCTCCCGCCAGTGCAGTCTGCTAGGCCTGAGCTCCCAGACCCAGCCGCCCACACATGCAGCAATATTGCCTCCTAGGAATACTGGCCTCCAGCCATGGCAGGAGATGGGCGGGGCAGGGGGAGCGTGACTGGCATGTTACAAGAAAGGCTGAACTGTGTGACCAGCAGCAAGAGCAGCCAGCCCAGCACAGGAGAGAGGTCAGGGTGCAGCCAGGCTGGGGTTTGGGGGGACTTCACTGATTGCCTGTCCATGCTCTAGGTAGTTCACACACGGAGCTGGCATCCCTGGGGATTGAGTCCCATAAGGATATGTGGCCAGAGGATCCTGCCTCCTGCCTGCACAGTGGGGGTGGCTCGCAGGAGATATGAGGCCAAGAGGGCCCTCCTGGGAGCAGCCTGAGGTTTCCACTAGCCGGGGCCAAAATCTGAGGGAGCAACAACTCAGTAGGTTTGAGCCTGAACCCTTGCCCTGCTTCGGCCTTGAATTCTCAACCAAACCCTGGGCTGGATCCCAATTCAACCCCCCCTCCCCTACAATCACTGCTGCCACAAAGGAGCCGTTAGCCCCTGAGATAGTGAAAGAAGTCAGCTTCCCCTCAGACCCAGAACAAGTCTGGCAACAGTAGGACTCCTGACCCCGCTTCATGCTCTACCCACTCGACCCCACCCTCCTCCCTCAGCCAGGAATAGAATCCAGATGTGCTGGCTCCCAAAGCCCCTGCTCTACCCACTAGACCCCACTCTCCTCCCTAGGCCAGGAAGGAAGGCATCCTGGCTCCCAACCCTCTGCTGTAATCATAGAAGAACCGGCCTTTCCCTAGCAAGCCCAACCCTGGTACACACCCAGCCCCTCGCTGGTGGGCCCCACCCACCTTCTTGATGTTGTACATCCGGATGAGGACGCCCTTCCCTCTGTCATTGAGGATCGTCAGCTTCTCAGCAAACTTGTGCTGGTAGATGGAGGGGAGAGACATCTCCTCAGGCGAGATTGTGCCCTGCTCCACACCAAATAACCCGCTGCAGGCAGCAGGCCAGGCCAACCCTCCGGCAACAACCCGACAGGCACCAAAATGGCACGGCTGCACTGGGAGGATGGGGCTGCTTGTCCAATTGGTGCTTCCTCTTTGATTGGAGGGGAGGCAGCGATCCCCCCTCTGATTGGCCCCAGCGCTCGAAGCCACCACGGAGCTTCACTTCCCCAAAGGCCGCCAGCAGCTCTCCTTTCTGAGCCGTGGCTTCCTGTGCTGGGCTTGGCTTGGGGCGGGCCTCAGCAGGGCCCCGAGCTCTGCTGCAAGCCCTGTCACATGGAGCAGCAGTCTGCTCCGCTCTCGCCAAACCCCAGCTGTTTGACATCATCAGCCCGGTCTGCACGGGCCCCACGCCGGGCCCAGAGGTGCCGGGCTCGCCCCCTGCCATTCACACCACTGCAAATCAAGGGAAACATCAATGCCCTGATCCAGGGGCGACTGGGTCTGCCTAAAAGTGGAGGGGACATAAGGCTCCTTCCCCTTCGTGGCCCCATCCCTGCCGTCCACTTCCCCCAAGGCCCTGGTCCCTGACCAAGCCGGAAGCTGGAGCCAGGCTGGCGATCCCCAGACCCTCCACCTGCCTGAGTAGAGGGGCCCGAGAGCAACCCCAGCCTGGGCTTTGTTCCCACCCCCCCAGGTCCCTCACCGAGGGCAGATGGAGGGTCCAAGGCTCCCCACAGCTGCAGGCTCCCAGCTGAGCTGCCCTTCCAGCCTGGCTGGGGGTCAGGGCTTTGGAGAGAAGAGGAGAGGCAGGGATCCAGGATCCTGACACACACACTCCCCCACAGGGTGGAGGGTGAGGAGTCCCAGGCATGGACAGACAATCAGTAATCACAAAATCCTCTGCAGGACACGTGTGTCATAAACAGCCTGTGGAGGGGGCCTGATCTGTTGCTCTGGGAAATGGCAGCAGCACATCCCTGGGCTCCTTAGCTCATGGGTGGCCAGGCTGCTGGGCGCACTGCCCCTGCCTGCAGGCACTGCTCCCACAGCTCCCATTGGTTGTGGCTCCTGGCCAATGGGAGCTGCAGAGTCGGTGCTGGGGAGGGAGCAGCTAAGAGACAGGGTGGCCAACAGATTTCACCGGTAGCTTCAGGGAATCTCCAAAGGGCTGCTGACGGCCGGGGGTCGGGTGGGAAGGAGGCAACTGCCCCAGGGACTGGCGATTCAAAAGGGACTAGGGCCAGTCCCGAAAAGCGGCAGAAAAAATGAGAGAAGAGCCGCACCAGAATTTTTTTTTTGAGCAATTTTTGTTGCGCAAAAAAACAAAACAAAAAACAAAAAACCGCTGCCCCTTTAAAAGAAAAGACAAGGCTTTTTGGCCACAACAGGCTCCTGTCGACCATTTTGAATCGCCACACCAGATGGCTCCCCTACCCCGGTGAGCAGAGGGAGCCGAGGACCATTTCTAGAGGAACAGGGCGGCTTCACGAGCCGCACTTTAAGGGGGGGAAGAGCCGCATGCGGCTCGTGAGCCGTGAGTTGGCCACCCCTGGACTAGGGCTCCCAGGCACAGCTACCAGAGCCCAGGGCCCTTTAAATCACCAGCACAGCTCTGCACAGCTCTGAAGGGCTGGCGGAAGTGTGCGGGGGAGGCTAGCCATAACCCCATCCCTTTGGCCTGAGGCCCCAGCCCTTATGGGAGCACACAGTCTCCCCCACCTGGCCCAGGGGCCTGGCAAGTCTGTCAGTCCCCCAGGGGACCAGCAGCAGATATAGGGCAGGGCGAGCAAGGCGGCTGCTGCACGGTGGAAGAGCGCACGCGCATGCGCCGAAACGCCGCGCAACACAGGTGAGAGAGGAGACGCCCGTGAGAAGTGCCCTGCGAAATTGTGCTGCCCTGGGCCCCGCAAAACTCTCATCTGCCCCTACTGGGGGTGGAGAGGGGTGAAGGAGAGGGGAGGAGGGAGACTCACCAAGCAACAGCAGCAGCCCATCCTGGGAGGGCTCGGGGAAGGATCAGAGCCGGGAGCGGAAGATCTGGTGAGTGGGGCGTCACGGCTCACAGGTCATGCCCACACTTGACACATCGGTCCCCGGATGGGACCACCCCTCTCCAATGTGGCATCCCCTTCTCGGGGAGCCCACTCCACTACAATGGTAGTCTGACAGTCTTTCTCAGGAGGTCCACTTCAGCGTGGCTACCCTCTCTTGGGGTGCCCATTCTCACTTGTGGAGTTAGCCCTTCCACCCCTGAGCCAGTGCCTCTCGGGGCCTGATGTGAGTCGCCCACCTGTTCCTGATCTGCTGGCCACAAACTCATCCACCAGTGTCCCCGCACTGTGCAAGTCTTTGGACTTCCGGTTGGCCAACCACACCTTGAGGTCTGGAGGGCAATTGTCCTACAGTTGCTCCATCCCCACCAGGTTGCACACATCCCCAGTGGTTGTAGCCCCAGCCCCCGTCCCCCACTTGTGGAGATATGCCCCCAGCAGGTTGTGTCACCTCCAAGAAAGTTGCTCTGGGGACTTGTGCACACCCCAGAACCGTGTCCAGTCGGCCTCCGAGGTCAGCTCAAACCTCAGCAGCCAGGCCTGTTTGAAAAGCTCATAGTCCCCGGTCTCAATCCCGTCCACTTGGCCAAATGTCATTTTGGTCTTGGGCACCTGCAGGGGGTCAGACAGCGGAGCCTGTCTGCAGGGTTAATCCGGTGCAGATCACAAGCCCTCTCAAAGGCTGGGAGGTGTCAGTCCCCGTAATACACGAGGTTCGAAGGGATGCCGGAAAGGATGAGACCACAACTGGGGGTTTTAAAAAGCACAAACTGATTTTATTTTGATGACGCCAGACAATCATCAGAACAAAAATTAAACAGATTGCCAGACAACACAAAACAATTCCCTGAGGCTTTTCTAAATCACAATAATTCCCAATAACTGCCCAGGGGTTAGGAACAGTTGAATTAACACTGGTATTGTCCATAGGGCTGATTATTTACACAACTTTATACAAGGAAACAGTAAAAAACCTAAACCACAACTATTTAAAAACTAACTTAGTAACTTTTTAGCCACTGTCACTTGGCAAGCAATAAGGACAACTAAAAAATCAATTAGGATAGGGATGATGGTGGGGGAGGGGAGGTGTTATACCAGTTTTGGAGACAGCAGGAACACAAGTACCAGTCACATGCTCATAAACTGTCTCCACTCGGGTCGACCAACTCGGAGTACACTCAGTAGGACTCG